GGGAGAAGACTGTGGTGAGCCGCTGCTACAAAAATGACAGTCATTGAGAGTGTACGTGGTTTTGTTGTGCGAATGAACCATATGTCTGAATTCATATAGCCACAAATAATTCCCCCTGACAGTCAGAATGATTGCCTAAACTCAAAATTGCTTTGTGTGCAAGTCTAATAGTTAATAACTCTAACATCTGTCCGCTAACGTATCAGGCTATTTAAAAGGCAGAAAGACTGTTGCATGCAAAACACACACACACACACACACACACACACACACACACACACACACACACACACAGTTAAAGAGGGGAGGGGGGTCTTGTTACGCGAAGCACATGCTTCAGACCAGCCCATAAATTTATGTCGGTCTGGAAATAGACCTGTAAATATAGAAGGGCTGTACCGTAGAGGAGGGAACGAGAGGCAAAGGACAGCCTTGTAACATCTTCTGGCACATCTTACCCCTCCCACCCCGCCTGCTAACTTCCTGCGGGATAACCTGGCCTCGCATGCTGTTTCACCCTTTACCGCCTCACAGCCACTGACCTGACCACTGACCTCACTGTTGCTGTAGACATTTTAAAACCAATTAGTTCAACAGAACATTCAATGTTTTATTAATGTACTTAAAAACTGGCAAGTCTTTTATTTAGTAAATAATCACTATTTTACATATTGCATTTATAATGCACAGCTACACTCACCGGCCACTTTATTAGGTACACCTGTCCAACTGCTCGTTAACACTTCATTTCTAATCAGCCAATCACATGGCGGCAACTCAGTGCATTTAGGCATGTAGACATGGTCAAGACAATCTCCTGCAGNCAGACAGTAGTAAGAGCTCTGGGGAGGAAAGCTAAAGGTAGGATCAGATTCTCACACACAGGAGTGGCTGTAGGGCGTTAGGAAAAATGACTTGGGACCAGAAATTCCCAGGTTCAATTCAGCGCCATGCCCACGTGTTGTGGTGTCCTTGAGCAAGACACCTATCCCCTAAATCACAGGTGTTGAACTCTGGTCCTCGAGGGCCGCTGTCCTGCATGTTTTCTTGTTTTACTGCTCAAACACACCTGATTTGCATGAATGGATGATTAACAGGCTTCTAGAGAATTTAAGGAGTTAAYTGAAGCACTGAATCAGGTGTGATGAAGCAAAGAAACAAGGAAAACATGCAGGATAGTGGCCCTCAAGGACCCGCGTTTGACACCCCTGCTAAATGCTCCCCGGGCAGCTACTTGCTACCCTGCATTGGTGAGATTTAGGCTTTGTAAACAGAGGAATGTTTTTCTCCTAAAATAATCTTATTTGTTTTTGTTTTTAAAAATATTCCCATAAATACAGAACTGTTTTTAGAAATGATTCAATTAGCTGGAAGACACAAAAACGACCTAAAACACTGTAGTCATCRTGTCAGCATGAGCATAAAGCTTATACATCAACTTCACTGACCATAAAAATCCCTGAACTGTATTTATTACACTGTACGGTCTGTGGTCCAAACTGTAACACAAAAAAAGGAAGAAAGAAATATGAGGAAGATAGAAAATACAAGAGCAAGAAAAGTTATCTTTTTGTGGACTGATGACAAAGTGAAACTTCTATTAATTTTGCCAGTTTATTGAAGTGATAAGTTTTTCAGCCTTAATTATATGTTATACTTATTAGGAGTTTTGCTCGGCTCTAATGTAATGTTATTGTTCACGAGCTTTGTCTCCTAATACAGTGCATGAAGGTTTCGCTGTCCTTGACAAACTGGCAACACAAACACAAAACCTGTCATTATTATGTCCATCACAACTGAGGTCAAAGGTTAAGGCAGAAAATGGGACAATGATGTTGTTTTCAAAAGGTGTGGTTAGACTGTCCACGCAGAAATATAAGGGGGGGGGGGGGCTTCTAAAATGTAGTTTCCGCAGTCTAAAATAAATAAAAAGATTGTATACACTCACCGGCCACTTTATTAGGTACACCACGCTAGTAACGGGTTGGACCCCCTTTTGCCTTCAGAACTGCCTCAATTCTTCGTGGCATAGATTCAACAAGGTGCTGGAAGCATTCCTCAGAGATTTTGGTCCATATTGACATGATGGCATCACACAGTTGCCGCAGATTTGTCGGCTGCACATCCATGATGCGAATCTCCCGTTCCACCACATCCCAAAGATGCTCTCTTGGATTGAGATCTGGTGACTGTGGAGGCCATTTGAGTACAGTGAACTCATTGTCATGTTCAAGAAACCAGTCTGAGATGATTCCAGCTTTATGACATGGCGCATTATCCTGCTGAAAGTAGCCATCATATGTTGGGTACATTGTGGTCATAAAGGGATGGACATGGTCAGCAACAAGACTCAGGTAGGCTGTGGCGTTGCAACGATGCTCAATTGGTACCAAGGGGCCCAAAGAGTGCCAAGAAAAGATTCCCCACACCATGAAACCACCACCACCAGCCTGAACCTTTGATACAAGGCAGGATGGATCCATGCTTTCATGTTGTTGACGCCAAATTCTGACCCTACCATCCGAATGTCGCAGCAGAAATCGAGACTCATCAGACTAGGCAACGTTTTTCCAATCTTCTCTTGTCCAATTTCGATGAGCTTGTGCAAATTGTAGCCTCAGTTTCCTGTTCTTAGCTGAAAGGAGTGGCACCCGGTGTGGTCTTCTGCTGCTGAAGCCCATCTGTCTCAAAGTTCGACGTGTTGTGTGTTCAGAGATGCTCTTCTGCCTACCTTGGTTGTAAYGGGTGGTTATTTGAGTCACTGTTGCCTTTCTATCAGCTCGAACCAGTCTGCCCATTCTCCTCTGACCTCTGGCATCAACAAGGCATTTCCGCCCACAGGACTGCCGCTCACTGGATGTTTTTTCTTTTTCGGACCATTCTCTGTAAACCCTAGAGATGGTTGTGCGTGAAGATCCCAGTAGATCAGCAGTTTCTGAAATACTCAGACCAGCCCTTCTGGCACCAACAACCATGCCACGTTCAAAGGCACTCAAATCACCTTTCTTCCCCATACTGATGCTCGGTTTGAACTGCAGGAGATTGTCTTGACCATGTCTACATGCCTAAATGCACTGAGTTGCCGCCATGTGATTGGCTGATTAGAAATTAAGCGTTAACGAGCAGTTGGACAGGTGTACCTAATAAAGTGGCCGGTGAGTGTATATTCTCACACACATAAAAAAAACTATCCTGTGTGGACAGGGCCTTAAAAACAGCTGATTTACAGACCCAACAGGCTCATTTATTCACACCTAAAGCAGTCCACTAGGGGCGTGTAAATCGGAACAAAAGAGCTGTTAACATCCATCCATCCCTTTCCCCAGTTCAAGTCAAGATAGGGGACACCCTGGACAATTTACAGGGCCACGGGGACAAATAAACATAAACACCCACTCACACCAAGGGACCAACTAGAGTTACAAATTAATTTAAGGTACATGTTTTTAGTCTGTAGGAGAAACAAAACCCACATGTGCAGGGGGAAAACCAGGCCACGAGGCCATTCTCACTGAGATGACAGCTCCACTGTCCAGCACGCAGACTGTTGACAACCAGACTGTAATTTACCAATGACACGCGCTGCTTGTTTCCTGTAGCTACAGTACAGCTCAAATACATACATATACAGTATGCATTAAACTACATACTTATTTTTTTAATAACGAGATTAAAGTCAAAATATTGCGAGAATAAAGTTATAATCATACGAGAACTCCTACACAAAAAAGCAGTCATACTGCGTAAAAATGAAGAATGTTGAGCATCTTGTGAAGTTATACTTTGGTATCTGTTTTATAAATAAAGACAATCTTTTAACACAGCATCCATCAGTAGCAGGACTTATAAATGAGTGTGCAAACGACTCTATGGATTTCTATGATAAACTGAAGTAGTAGGACATTGCAGTTAATGGCTACATTGATTAGTCGTGACATTATGTGGAAGGAAACATTTTTTACAGTGACCCAAAAGTCGTTGTGGACTGCACACAGATACATGCATGGCTGCCCACAGCAGGTGTGAAGAATATGAGGAAATGAAAAAATAAAAATCATGAATAGAAAATGGATGTTGACATGCAAGAGTGACATTTTTCCTTGTAATATTACAACTCTTTTCCCTTAATATTGCAACTTCTTTCTCATATTTAAACAATATCTCGTGTGGCCCTAACAGTCGTACAAAATATCTAGTTCTTCAGGTTGAGCTTTAAAAATGGCCGTTATGACTTTTACGCTCTGCTACACTGATTTTGAACAGTTTTAAAATTAATTGAAATAATTAGATTTGTTTAAAAACAAAATCAAAGCAAATTGCACAGCAGTAAGTTTCATTTAGTTTGCCTTTAAACTAAATGTTCTGCAGCCACTGCATTTTTTTCATGTTTTGGTATAAATAAACATGCTTTTTTGAATTTAAAAAAATGTCTCAAGTGGCCGGCTTAGGGCAGACAAAAGGGTTTAAAAAACGCACAAACACCCACACGAGTGCAGTCTGCGGACATGCTGACACAAACAAAACAGAAGCATGTGCACAAACAGCCAGAGACACACAGCTGGGCACAGGGCCTGTTTGAAGGGGGGGTTGATTCAGGCCACAGCTGACCTAACATAAACCTCTGTTCATTCAGAAGTCCAACTGTCTTCCAGTCACACAAAACAAACCCAAGATGAACCACATATTTGGGCCACTTCCTGCAACAACAAGCCTTCAGAGGCAGCAGCTGGGTGCTTAAAGAGCTGGAAAAGAAGCTCATCGAGATCAGAAAGACGATTTGAAGTAGAAAACACAACACAGACTCTGACAGTTCATAAAAGATCACTAATAATATCACATGGCACTCAGGATCTATTTTCTGTAACAGTGAAGGAAGAAAACACGTTTCTACCCTTTTTTCCTCACAGATTTCGATCAAATTACACAAACTCTAGTGTGTTTGAGACCCGTTTAAATTTAAAGGGACAAGAGGTTGACAGCTGGAGCTTGCTGGAACTCACCGTTGGTTGCTGTGGTGACTCCATCTGATTTGGTGAAGTCTATACTGGCGTAGGCTCCGTTCTCCGGCAGGGCTGCCATCCCCGCCGCCACCACGGCTGTGCTCCCGTTGCTGCTACCAGGCCCGGCCGCCGTGGCTCCCGGACCGCTCCCGTCCTCCCGCAGCTCCAGAGCGATGTAGTTGAGGCCGTTCTGGTAGCCCACGGACATGTTCCTGCACATTCTGCTGCTGGCTGCGGACCCTGAAGACGATGGGGAGGAGGAGGAGGAGGAGGAGGAGGTCGCCGGGGTCCTTGAGTCTGTGCTGGCTTCAGCCGGGCGAGGCGACGAATCGCCCGCGCCCTCCACGGACATCCAAACGCTGTCGAAGGACGCCGAGCTGGCCCACCTGGAAGTCTGTCCCTCTGTTCCGTTGGGGGCCGCGGAGTTAGCCAGCGAGGGGTGGGTGGCTGAGGACGACGGGACGAGTCCTCCTCCYGATGGAGTCGAATTAGAGGAGGAGCTGGAGGAGAAGGTCTCAGAGCTGTGTCTCCGTCGGCCTTGAGGATCTGCTCGCACCACCTTTGGCTCCAGCTGGTGGCTGGATGGAGGGAGGGGAGGGGAGATGGACGAGGGGGCAGCGGGGGGGTAACCATAGTGTCCCTCTATCACACAGAGATGCTGCAGCATGGCTGTAGGGCTGGTCTGAGTCCGCTCACCTCTGCTGAGGTTGAATGTCATGTCCGTGTAATCGTCTCCCATTGACCCCCAATGACCCCCCGGCTGGACTCCAGGGGGGGCCAGCACCCCTGGATTACTGGCAAGAGGGCGGATGTAGCTAGGTGGGTTCCAGGGCGCAACCAGGCTGGGCCTGGGCGACTGATTCTTACCCAGACACCCAGCGGTATCCTGCTGCTCCGCTCCCACCTCCACGCTCATGTAGTCCTGGGCGTGCGGAGGGGAACAGCGGGGGTCACTGGACCCCAGGGGGTGGGCAACATCTTGGGCCGAGAGCGGATAGGCGGGAGGCTGCTGTTGGTGTGGGAAGTGGTCGCCGAACTCGATGTTGATGTACTCTCCTGGGCTGGAGGGGCCTTCGCGGGGGCCGTCGGTAGTCGACGCCGAAGCGGAGGTGCCCGCGGGGGGCTCGCTTGCTTTCAGGGGACCGTGGAAACTCCTTCTGCCCAAGGGGAGGCGGGTGGGTCTGACGATCCGCCTGTCGGACATCGCCGCTGTTGTGTGGTGGGCTCCATACGGGGGAGGAGGGTGGGAGGGAGTGGAGGTGCTGCTGCCTCCTCCGCCTCTCTTCTGCGGTATCGACATTGAAGCCGTTGCAACGGACGAGTACACCGGCTTGGCGGGAGAACTCATAGGAACGTACTCCCCATCCGCTTTCTCGTCACGTTCTCTGGTGGGGGCCTTGTAGGAGCGAGGCAGGGAGAAATAAGGGCTGTAAGACTTGGGGGTTCCCTCAGGGGTGTAATATTCACCGCTGTCTTCGCTTATGAACTTGCGCCCGCTGCCGCTGTAGGACATGTCCATATATTCTCCGTTCTCAGGTCTCTCAGCTATACTGTCGCTGCGACTGATAGAAGCAGCCGCGCCGGGGCCGCTGTGGGGGCTCGGAGACGCCTGCACTGGGGAGGGAGAGGTGCCGCCGCCCCCTGGGAGCATCATCATGTAGCCGTGAGAGTCTGTGGAAGATTGAGAGTGGTGGTGGGCTGAGTGGGCGCCGAGCTGAGGAGAGTGGGACGTGTTGTAGGGGTACGAGGTGGGCTGCATAGGCATGTAATCAGGAGGAGTGTCCCGAGGCGACGCCGCCACGCCGCACATCATGGGCATGTAGCCGCTGTCTTCCTTGGCCGAGGAGGAGGAGAGCGGGGGGCGCTCGGCGCTGCACTCGGTCCGGGACAGCGTGGAGGGACGGCTCTGCTGGCTGTGCTCGGAGCAGGAGCTGTAATCGGAGCGGAGCGAGGAAGAGGAGGAAGACGGCCCGCCGCGGTGCAGCCCGCCGCCAAACGGCATCACCACATCCGACCCCTCTTCCAGAGAGAAGTTCGTCTGGGTCATCTTCTGGTAGACCGCGACCCCGGAACCCCCCGTCGCCCCCCCAGTGGGCCTGGAGAACGAGTGAGTCCTCCTCCTCAGGGAGGACGAAGAAGAAAAGCGCTCGTCCTCTGCAGTCGACGTGCTCTCGTCGCGGGGCGCGTCACCTCCACCGGTGTTTCCGGCGCCCGTGCTGGTTCCGAACACCTCCCGGTTCCAGCTCATGGCCATGTAGTCATTCAGACCGTTCTCCTCTCTGATTGGCGGGGTGTTGCCCAGCGAGTCCGGGGTGTTGCTCCTCACCCGGAAGTACCGGAAGTCCCCCGGGCTGGAGCCGTACTCATCTGAGGAGTTGAAGCCGCCGTCGGATGGCGAGCCGCATATCGAGGCGCTGGACGGGCGCGTGAGCGTGTCCGAGACGGAGCCGTGGCCGCTGCTGGAGGACACGCTGACCGGGCTGGTGGCGGAGGGGAAGTGGGAAACGGGAAGGGAGGCGGAGCGGGCGTGRCTGGTGGACGCCGAGCCCGGGATGGCCCGGACGTAGCGGCCGCTCCCGGTGCTCGTGCCGACGTTGCCCGTGGCGGCGACCCCACTCCAACCGCTGCCGCCGGCCACGTCCTGACGGCCGTGGGCGGCGCGGGCCGCGTTGAGATGGACCAGGCTTCCTGTGGCCGAGCGGAACGGCCGGTTCATCGTCCCCTCGCCCTCGCTGGATGTCCGGAAGCGGTAACCACTCGCYCCGGAGCTTTTACTGGAGGGCGGCGTGCCGACCACCGACTCCGTCCTCGACCGCCGCTGCAGCCCCGTCTGACTCGGCGGCAGGTTGCCCAGGTGGCGCCGCGTCGTGATGAACGACATGGGGTTGGAACCCGACGACTGGCTTTTGCTCCTCGGCCGGAACTCGGCGAACGCTTTCAGGGCCTTCATCGTCTCCAGGATGGTCTCGTGCATGTTCTGGGCCACGACCGAATCGTCCACCTGCATCCAGATCTCCCCAGGCCCAATAGAGGACGAGCGGCCCACCTCAATGAAGAAAAAGCTCTCCGAATGTCCACAGCGCCTTATATTCATCAGCTGAAGGTTGACACAGGGGGTCTCTGAGTTCAGCTTGACGAGGTGAATGGTTTTAGTAGAGAGGCAGAGTCTGTAAACACCTGTCAGGTTTTTAGTTTGACCCAGTCCTTTTGGTTTCACATTCACCTGCCAAACTTCTTTAAACACAGTACCAGGACTGACAGTGCCATACCCGTCATCCAGATCATCTGAATCCAGGTGCCCTCGTTTCCCCTCGCTCATCAGCTCGCTGATGGCCACGTACCAGTCCTCCTGCTCCTGCTCGTTCTCAGCCACAATGGCAAAATACTCGTCCTTGGTGTAAAGGGCGATGAGGTGTTTGTTTTTCGAGTCCGCTCGCTTGTTTACCGTGAAGCACTGGTAGAGATAAATCACCCTCTTCGGGGGCGAAGGGGCGACGGCTGCGGCGCCCACGGCGGCTGAGGCGGAGCGCAGGCTGTTCCTGAACTTCTTCTCGCTGTCGTAGTACTCCAGGCGGCTCAGTCCCAGGTGACTGGCGGCCCGGAGCACGAAGAACCTCTTGTGTCCGTGCTTCTGCTTCCTCAAGTAGCCACACTTCCGAATGTCGTCGACGGCGGCGTCCGAGGTGCTGCTGGCGACGGTCACAGCCGCGTAGACATGGCTGCTGCTGCTGCTGCTGCTGGAGGAGGCAGCCGGGTCCTCGGCGAGGTGTACCTGGCTCAGGGAGGCGGAGGAAGCGGCGGCTTTCCTGCTCGGGGACTCTGCGGTGCTCTCCCCGGCGAGATGCTGCTGTTGATCCTTTGGCGAGTCGTGAGTGAGGTTGTGTTGGTGAAGACGGCTGGAGGGCGGCAAATACTGGTGGAAACGAGAGCTGCCGCCTCCTCCTCCTCCTCCTCCGCCGCCGATATTAATTATCGGGGAAGGGGGTTCCCCAACGGAGCCGTCTCCGTTCGTGGCCGCAGGTTTCGTCCCCACGTCCCTCTGTTGAGTCTCCGCCAACAACATCGCCGCCTTGCCCTCCTGGTAGTTCGTGAAGTTAGCCATCGCCGAATACAATCAAAGGTCACTTTAGTAGCAGGCTAATCCTAGACCCCATTCTTGTTTTTGGGAGACGAGCTCCCGAGTCCGGCTAGGCCAGCTAACGTTGACTCGCGCGGCTCAGATTTGCAATCCCCCCACACACACAGACCGGCTTTGTTACTCCGTCTCAGAAAAACACGTCTTTGTTCCTTTTTTTTAGCAGCGAGCCAAGGTAATCCAGCGAGGGCTCCTTTTTTCATGAAATAAAGCCTACCGTGTAAAGCATGACCACGTTCAGCCGCGTTTCTACAACAGGGGGGAACCAGTTAGCTCCATTAGCTACCCCTTCCCTTCTACTCCTGTACACATCTCTACGGGCCACAGCACAAACAACACATGACCCTCTGCGTCAACGAACGAATGGGCGGGACGAAAGTCAACATCCTGGATTTCATTGGCTCATCACTTTGACTGACGCTTCATGACACGCAGCTACACCAATAACTAAAAGATGTCGCTGCCTGCGTCAATGGCTCTAACCAATCGCGTAWCAAAGTCTGCACAGAGGGCGTTTACGTTTCTAGGCTTATCTGGAGCCTGTTGTTAGGTAATCCAGCAAAATGTCCAAACCATGAAAACTGATCTCAGAGCAGTTTAAGAGTCTTCGCTGTGAACTCAGAGGTCTGTTAAACTTGTTACGCATTCGCCTTTTTTTATTACTAAACTTTACTATAACCACAAATTATATGAAACATTTTCATGGTACCACATTCTAGTGTAATTTTACTTTAAAAGTTGCAACAAAAGTGTGTGCCTTTGGGGGTTTTATCCAACTAATTTTATTAAGTAAGCCTTTTAATGGGAGGTTTATAAAGTCGTTTCACCAATTAAAAAAAAGCTGAAAACAAAAAAAAAATGTTTCACTTATAATGTATTTGAATGATTTGTAGGAAAATTACAAACTACTTTTAAAGAAACGGGCACTCACTGTGCAGTAGCCTTGCTTAAAGCCTCATCTGTTAGCAAAATATCCTGTGAACCACTGGATAAATTTTAATCACACCATCAAAAATTAATCACTGGAGATACAGCTACAACTGATTAACTTTTGGAGTGAATGCACACATGCTGAACATCACAGTTAACTAATATTAGTTATTAAAACAAATATAAGTCAGTCTGTTTTAAAAGATTAAGCTAAGATTTGGTGTGGTGGTAGTAGTTTAGAGACATTCACATCACATACTCAGAGCGTGACTTCTCACAATATTGCATGAGATAACAGATTTGACTTAAAGTGCAAATTAGCCTGCAGAAAGCAGGTGCTTGAACCTCACTTGAACTGCCCTTTGCTCTCAGGAAGTGACATTATTATTTGTGTTTTGATTTTTACAGAGCAGCTACATGGCATCGGATCCCCGACGAGGAGCACCAGTATGTGTGATGGCAGAGATGTGAGTCCCTCTATCAAGGCTGGGTGGTGTAAAAAAAAAAAAGAAAAGAGGAGGACTACCCCCTMTCCCTTACCCGGGGGAGGTATCAGTGTTCTTTCACACCGCTGAGAATGCCACGCTCGGCTTTCCTGGCTTCTACTACACTTTACGTACAACAATTCACTTGATCCTTTTTCTCCTAAGCACCTTCCAGCGTAATGAGCGGGATCATGTGTTGGGCGGCCCGGCTCCGATGGGAATCACACCTCTAATAACGACACGCTGAACCACCTGTCCGCCTCTGAAACTGTTCTTATTTACGGGCAAAAAAAAACCTAAACACCATAATGTCACAATAACATTAGGGAGTGACTGAACTCTGTGATCCCGTACCGTTTATTGGTTACAGCTTCCTATTTAAAACACACATGTGGGGGTGTGTTTGCGTCCTTGTTGGGTTAACATGAACGGAGGATCGCTGGCTGTTTCGATGACCGAACTGATATTTTAAGTCAGTCACATGAGCTATCTTAAGTAGGTGTTATAAGTGGTGCTTTTTACACACGCAGGAACACATAAACTCGTCAGCATTCGTAAGATGTGACCTTAATGTTGTCATCGGTTAGGGTTAGAAGGGTTCGCAAGTCAAGTACTTTCCATTTTTGTCATCAATTAGTTGGTTGTTATTCTTTTCCTCTGGATCAGTAGTTCTTAAACTGGGTGATGAGACATCAACAGGATCTTTTTATGTTGGGTTCTGTAGAAATGTTAGCAGTTAATATCTYACCTGTTGTGGATAGTTCCTTGAACATGTTTGATGAGATGAAGATGAGCTCATGCGGAGCAAAATGTCCCAAAGTACATTTTTTCTATCCTAAAGGGATCTCTGACTAGTTGTAACATTAGACATAATTTGATAAACATTTACTTGATCTGTAAAATACTTTAAGCTGTTTCGTTTTCATAATTTAAAAAATGATTGTCAAACAGATGGTTACCCTACAAAGCATTCTGGGTGCGAGCAATGTCTGACATTCAGCCCTTTTAAATTAAACCAGAGCACATTGACAGAGAGGAGAAAGTAAAAATGACTCATTCTATCAGATCAGATCTGTTTTATGTTCATATGTATGTTCCCCAGATCTCCATGTTCCCTTATACAATGCTTGCACTGTATTTCAATTTTTTTCTCGTTTTAAAAGACTGTATGAACATAGATACCAGGCATAGATACTTGAGAGCATAGATACCAGGGAACATAGAAGCCAGGGAACATTAATACCAGGGGACATAGATTCCTGGGAACATATACAGTATATCAGGGACCTTAGATACCTGGGGACATATATATCAGGGACCTAAGATACCTGGGGGCATATGTATATCAGGGACCTTAGATACCTGGGGACATATATATCAGGGACCTTAGATACCTGGGGGCATATATATATCAGGGACCTTAGATACCTGGGGGCATATATATATCAGGGACCTAAGATACCTGGGGGCATATGTATATCAGGGACCTTAGATACCTGGGGKCATATATATCAGGGACCTTAGATACCTGGGGGCATATATATATCAGGGATCGGACCTTAGATACAGTACCTGGGGACATATATATCAAGGAGCATAGATATAAGGGGACATAGATATAAGGGAATATACAGTATATACTGTATATAGTATATATACCAGGAAACAGATACAAGGTAACATAGATATCTGGGAACATATTTATCAGACACTGTAGATACAAGGGAACATTGATGCCTGGGAACATAGATATCAGGTAACATAGATCCCAGGGAACTTAGATACAAGGGAACATGGGTGTCAGGGAACACAGGAAAGGACAATGGGGTATATTACCAAAAGGCGTCACGCACACTTTAGAAGATTGACCAATGTGGTATGAGTGTGACGCCATATTGGAAGGGGCAGATTGTCAATGTAAATTATTTATCATGGCTAGATTCCTGCATAGAATTATATACATATTAACTTTTCATTGGTTAGCTTCTGCCTTTTAGAAACATCACTCATTGTGAGCATGTGTTCCTTGGCAACATGTGTTTGTCTGATAGTTACTGACAAACATTTTGTGTCAAATCAAAACAGTGGTTGTCAATAGCAAACTGAGTTTCATTGATGTGGTGACCTACATTCAACATGTCATGGTTACCACATCCAGCTCTAATGGCTAACAGTGCTATCTGCTGAGATGCCCTCACCCTGAACAATATAGCTGGTCCCTCCTACCATGAAACGTCATGTGATAGTGCCTCTGGCCAATACACCTCATAGGGTCTGGACTTCAGACCAGTCAACAGCTCTTCATGAGAGAAGTCTGATTCTGCTGACCTGTCTGTCCCAACCCTTTTCACCCTTTCACCTGCCAATTGTGCTCCTGAGGACAAATGAAYCCATGTTACCAAGTCTCTGTCTCCACTTAAACAGTCTGGCTGCCTCTGCAAGTTTAAACTATTGATTTTGCTGTTAGAAAAGTGAAATAATCTGAGGTGAAATTAGGATCATTTTATTCTCAGTGACTCAGTGGTGCTCCACTGCTGGGACAGTCCTGCAGGTAACAGGTGTGACCCTCAGCTCGAGACCATTTAAAGGCTCAGGAATAAAGAGTCGTATGATAATTGTGATCATGTATTCAAACACTGATGGTGGGTTTTATTTTAAAAACATGTTTTGCATGCGTCTGGATGGCAGTAAAATTATCAGCCGCCGTCGATCCTGAATGATGCAAATCTGCGACCACATTTATTTGGTTGACGTGCCAACATCAGATGTGTGGGTGGGTGCRTTCACACATTTATATCAATCAAATACATATACTGGATTTAAACAAGAATATATATCAAATAAACTTGAAAAAAGATCATTAATTATCATTAATTGTGTTGTGTTTTTCTTTCAAATAAAAGAGGATTTTAACTAAAGTAAGCCTTCTGATTGACACGACTGCCATGACACATCTCCCTCTGCTGGTCTGAATTCTGACTTGCAGTAAATTAAATGCTGCTGTTGTATGTGAAACAAAGGAATCGAGTCAACAAAGCTGAAACACACACACACATACACACACAGGAAACACAAAGAAAAGCACACTTCTCTTTGTTGCAGACTCCTATTTCTGTATTTATATACAGAAATAGGAAATAGGAGCTGATTTTGACAGTAAAATTTGAGCAGACGGCTTAATAAATGCGAACAAACTGTCAAAATCCTCACATATTTAAACAATTTCCACTAAATATTACAAAAAATATAGTTTTTTTTGCATTAACAAGCAGTTATTTTGTGAGTAATAATAATAACTAATACATTTTTATGGCTTATCATTACCCGCAGCTGACGGCAGTAACGTTTTAGCACGCACTGACAACTGATCTACTTTAGGAGTTGACCCTGTTCAMGATGGCCRCCACGACRTGACCTCAGCCTCAAAAATGGMTGCAACTCAGACAATTTTAAARATATTCAGATTTAACGTGGTAGTAGGCGAGAGTCATCCACAACATTTACTTGAAAAGCTACAAACTGTGCATGTTGGCCTGCTGTTGAGCCCAGCTGCCTGTTAGCAAAATATCTCATGAACCACTTGATGCAAATGAATCTTTTAGAAAATATTCATCAGAATTGAATTGACTTTAAAAGTGAATGAGCTGTGATTTTATGTCTCACTAAAGTCAGTCCTCTGGTTCAGGAGATATTTTGCTAACAGGGTTAACACAAAGTCAACATAAAGCACAAATGGTGCCAGTAGATGTTGGGAATGACTCTTAGTTTTGGTAGATCAGYRTCTGTAAAACTGACTGAGTTAGAGCCATTTAGCTGTGACGGCCATCTTGAATTGGTATGACTCCAAAAGTTAATCAGCAGTAGGTGYACAGCCAAAGTATTACATTCTGAGGGTTTGTTAAAATATGTCTACAGGTTCATGAGATAATTTGCTAACAGAYAAGCAAATGAAACCAGATAGAYACAGGCAAAAACTAYACCGCCRCCAGCATTTTTGCATTTCACATACATTCCAGGAAAAAAAAAGATATTTAAATCCCAATTTAAAGATGAAATTCTGGACAAGATGTGAACATTTTAGAATAGTTAGCATTGAAAAATGTGTTACAATCTTTTTAATACAATAGTATTTCATTTGTGTCAACAAAACACAACTTTCAAGCCAGAAAATGAAAAAAAAATTGCTGTAATGTGTCTTTTGTGTGCTGAGTATTTCAATTTAAACACAGCAAGTGCAATGAGGAAGGCGGTAAGCTGCCAGTCTAACAGTCAGTTTATGGGGTTTAAACACACACACACACACACACACACACACACACACACACA